CAATTTTGAGAGCAACTATGTGAAGTTGGCGGTCATTACGGACAGTGGGGGATTGAAAAAGCTTGAAATTCAATGAAAATGGAGTAGAAGAGGATTGTCTGCTAAATAACACAGAGCCGATACAATTACACGTCACCGGCTAACATATCACCTACATAAGCCTGACGCATATTTGGCCTGTGTTGGAAATGCAGAAGCAAACACTAAAAATTGCTTCAGAAGTTTGGGCATGAAAGAAACAGTCACAACTTTTGGGAAGGTATGAGGTGGTAGCTCCTGTGTGCAAATCTACTGTACTTCAAAAACATTTTTCGATTTGTAATGTTACAGGTTTATTAGGGAACTAGTGGCTATTAGAAGAATGCTTTAGTCAATTCGAAATTGTCTAGAAAGTTTCTAAGTGAATAAAGTAAAGTAGTCGACTCTTGAAAGCGCATAATTGTAATACCTACTAGAAACATGCGACATAGTCTGAGGTTACAATAATTCAAAATACAGTGGACCTTCGGTAATACGACAAACATTATGCAGGGCAGTGTCGGACTATCGAATTTGTTGGATTATAGAGTACTGCCTAAGACCCCCTATAGTCCGGAATTCTTTACAAAAGAGTGCCTTGTAATCCGACAAATTACATATCCAATTGTAAGTTTATATATGTTATGTATATGTATGTACTTTGAAGTACAAATCATACATAGTTTATGTATGTCGAATTTAGTAAATTAAATAACAATAGAGAGCTTACGTTTTATTATAAAATTAAGCATAAATGCACATACCAAAATAATCAAGAAGTATTAATAATAATAATAATAATAATATTTATTTACTCTAAAATACAGGGAACATGAAACGAGTAAATAAATATAATATATCCATAGGAGGACAACGCCTGTGCATGGATCATATGTATGTTGAATTGCAAAATATAATAAAATAGAGAGAAAAAAGAAATTATTGGTAAGAATGGTAGAGCATTTATTGTGTAATATTTGAGATTATTTTATTAATTTGATTTCTCCCAATCGTGTTAATAAATTTTTTTAATTTTTTTTTGAAGCCTAATGTATTGCGTAATTGTTTTAAATTATTTGGTAAATGTTCGTACAATTTTGGAGCTATATACAGGTGACATCGTTTCATTAGGGATTTGTTTGGTTTAGGAACATTTTTTGCGCGTAATTTATATCTGGTTTGATCATTATGTTTAATTATGTCGTGTTCACTAATAGTTTTGTGATAATGAGTGATGGTATGTAAGAAGTAAAGTTGTTTAGTATCATATACTTGTGCATCATTATATAAGTCATTAGTTGGGTATAATTTTGATTTGCCTAACATTGATTTTAAAATTCTTCTTTGAAGTACATCTAAATCGTTAAAGTATGTCGTGCATGCAGCACTCCACACTACTATACCATATGTTATGTGTGGCTCGACCAAAGCTTGATATATTATTCGTAGATAATATTCAGTTAATATACCGGTTAGAAATTTTATTTTATATGCTATGAATCTAATTTTCTTTAGTATGTGAGAAATATGTACATCCCATCTCAAGTGGGGATCTAGAAGAATTCCTAAATATTTTGTATCATTAACTCTATTGATTTTTATATTTTTATCATTTACCTTAAACCGAAGGTGGTTATATTTTGGTAGATGATTAGATAGTGATGAAAATGGTAAAAAATGAGTTTTAGTAAAGTTAATTGTTAATTTTCGGTTAATAAACCACTGAATAATTTTGCAAAAGTCATTTTGGATAATATCTTTTAAGTCGTTCCAATCCTTACCTTTATAGAGTATAGCAGTATCGTCTGCAAAACTGACTATTTTACCAGTACTGTTTATTTTGAATATATCGTTTAAATAAATATTGAATAACAGAGGACCCAAAATTGTACCTTGTGGAACACCACATTTAACAAACATTTTTTTACTATACGAGCTTAATAATTTTACTGATTGCGGTCTATTTGATAAATAATTTTCCATTAAAGTATACATCTTTCCACGAAAACCTATTCTTTCTAAGATTTCCAAAAGTATATTGTGGTTAACTGTGTCAAACGCTTTTTGTAAGTCCACAAATACGCATATCGATGGTACTTTTCCATCTATATTTTGGGTTATTTCATCTACTATACTTAATACTCCATCTGTTGTAGATTTGCCCGCTATAAAACCATATTGATTTGAATTTAGAATTTATTAAGAAAATTAATCATTTTATTAAGGAGTAATTTCTCAAAAGCTTTAGCTAAACTTGATATAAGTGAAATAGGTCGATAGTTAGTGACGTCCGTATTAACATTAGATTTATAGACAGGTTTGATGATTGCTGTCTTGAAAGCTGATGGAAATACTCCAGATTGGAAGGATTTGTTAATGATATAAGCAAGTGGTTCTGTTATTTGTTTGGTCAGTATCTTTAGATGTTCAGCTCTAATTTCGTCAACTCCAGGGCTTTTTTTATTTTTTAGAGTCATAATGGCATTGAAAACATCCTGATAGTCTACTTCAGTTAATACAAATGAATTATTCAGTCTTGTAATCAAAATCATTAATGAATTTATCAAATTATGAAGCTTGGAAATATTCATCAATTTTTTTTTGTTTAAGGTTGTTATAACGCGAGATCAGAGCTTTGTCCCTCAGTCTTGTCAAAAGTAAAAGTTCGTTGTAAGATGTACCATTCTGTTCAACCCATTGTAAACCTAGCTCAAAGGCGTTAATTGTGTCTTGTGCTGTGACTTGTGGAGCAGTTGCAATCACGTCGTTGTTATTTTCCTGATTGTTTGTTGTATAATTAGAAACCTCTTTTATAATCTTTTCGTCAGACATTTTATGAAAAGCATTTTCCTCTTTACCCATTCCATGGCACCAGATTTCCAAACCTTCCGGACTTATCCGTGTTTCAGTAGCGACTTGTTCTATAACTTCCGAAGTTACACTGATTTGTGTAACGTTGCTAGGAGTGGTGACTATATCTGGCCATAACTTTTTCCAAGACGATTTAATAGTTGATGTCGGTAACGCATTCTACGACTGACAAAGAGTAAAAACCAAGTCTTTCATATTAAATTAAGTTTTTTCTATTGGTTAGTCTTTTGATACGGCTCTCAGAAGTAGGTTTTTCTTATAGTCTTGCTTGACAAACTGAATGATATTCTGGTCCATTGGTTGAATCAGTGCAGTGAAACTTGGCGGAAGAAACATCGCAGTGATGCATTTATCCTCAGTTGTTAGTTCTTCTTCAGACGGATGACCGGGAGCGTTATCAAGAAGCAACAACGCTTTTTGAGGAAAATTATGATCTAACCACGTTTTGATAATTTATACGAAATTGCATAGAAATGGATGACCTTAACTATGGTACATACATTTAAATCGGTTCGTTTTAAACCAACAAAACTGTGATCAAAGGGATTTTTTTTTAAATCAACCATCATTAAACAATAAAAAAAAATATAAGTGGCAATTCATGTTTGCGAGAGAAGATCGGACTTCAATTTTAATTTAAAAGTTTTAATATTCGCAATATTTTTAAAATGAAAATTAATACTGTTTTAATATTTAATGGCATTGTAAATAAAGGTTCTTGAATGTAAAACTGGCAGTATAAAGAAAGCCTAATGCCTTGTGTTAACATTATGCGTGCTGGATCTGGTAATAAATTTTTCAAACAGGTATGTGGGTGATGCGGATAGTAAAATACGATGCACAGAACTTATAACAGAATATTTGTATAGATTATCTATAGTTAACCAATTGAGGTCAGAATACGTTTATTAGATTTCCCAATGAGCATCATCTTAAGCGCGTGTGTGCCCGCAGCATTAGCACATGGTAGTATGGTTACACGATCTTTACTTACTTTTCGTCCAGGTACGGATTTTTCGTTACAAGAAACGAAAGTTTTGTTAGGCGTCATACGCCAAAAAAGCCCTGATTTGTCTTCATTGTACACCTGTGACGGGTCAAGATTTAAGTCGTTCACCTTTAGCAAAAATCTTAATTCGAAGGGCTCTATGCAGGTAGCATCGTTAGAAAGTTTCTCTCCTGTAATAGTCATTTAACGTATGCCATGTCGACTTTTAAAACGTCCTAGCCATCCTTTGCTGGCCACAAAATCATCTTTTTTTGTTATTTCCTTATAAAAAAACTTAGCTTTCATGGCGAACATGGGTCCTGAAATTGGTGCATGCCTATTTCTTTCCTGAAGAAAGCACATGCACAAAGCTTCTTCCAGTTCTGGATGTTCAGCTTTCTTGAGTGTCTGTCCCTTGTCTGGCCCGCAATCAGTAGTTGACACTAACTTCTTGATCTACTCGTGGTTTCGTTTAATGTCATAAATTGTAGATCGGCCTACGCCGTATTCACTTGCTAAACTACTAAAGGTTTCATTGCGATTTAAGCGGTCTAAAATATCACATTTTTCTTTAATTGTCAATGTTTTGTGCTTTCGCTTCTGAGGTTGTGATGACATTACTAGGTACTATACTTAATACACAATGAATAAATAGTGAACAATGAACGCACGCTAGGCCGTACCGCTATCACAAGTAGTCAAATTCAAACTAAGTAAAACAATGCTTACGCGTCGAGAACGATAGCGGTGGCGCGTACAAATTGTAACCTGTTCAAACCTGCGTGATCTACATTAGCGAAGATTGTTAAATACGTATGTATGTAATATTCAAAGACATGTCGGATTACAGGGGGCGCCGGATTAGACAGCGGCCGGATTATCGGGGGTCCACTGTAGAACTGTAAAAAGCAGATGACTCGTTCACCATTTTTGGAAACGCAAAAACCTACCAGTGTAGGTACATTCACCAAATATCACAAGAAGAATAAGGCGCATTAATCATAAGTTCATATTCCATCGAGCATCGCTGTCTCTCCCACTAGTTCCCTGATTTTGGATTAAAATTCAGATAAGGACTTATTTTACTTTGGTTTCAAGGAAAATAATAACATGCTGTACTTACCCATGATATGCCAGGAGAGAAAGTAGGAAGAATATACAAGCCAAAACATCTGCTCTTCCAACAATTCCAGTGACCTGAAACAAGCAAGGAAAAAACGTTATGTTGCTGTTTTTTGATGTAAAAAATTAAAATCTTCCAGAATGTGTTGGAAATACATTGCATACTGGGTATATTATTTTTAGTTGGATCGTCAGAATATCATTGACAGTAGGTATAGAGTTTTTTCAACATATAAATCAGTTCTCATTACAAAATGCCATAACTAGATTTGGTAATATCATAACAAGGCAGTCGTTGTAACGGGTTTTATTTTATAACACAAAATGTGACGGAAAACTTCCAGTAGTTGTGAATAACAGAAGAAGTAAGTTCTATAAAATAGTCATGGCGTTGCATTGAGCTTCAAAGTTTTGATTAGTAACTGCTGAGCTGGAAATTACGTAATTACTTGATTGTTGGAATTGGAAGTACTGATACATTAGTGAGGATATGTCTATACGGTAATTACTAGTCCTCTACCTCTACAATTTACGTAGATTATGTAAAACGCTTTCATCCATTTCACCGATTATAGAACTGAAACCACACACCTGATAGAAATTAGGGAACATATATCACAAAGAAGATTAATCGTATGATACAATACTTAAATTTTCGTATTGGGCGTCTCATTTAGAGAGGAAAACATTTCAACCATAAGGGGGTGATTATAATTATACAGGGTGTTTCAGTTCATTGTTGCATAACTTTAAGATTCGATGGAACTTTTAAAATTAATGCATAAAGTCTATATAAAGATGGGTCGAAAAATGCGTGGCTTCCGAAATACAGGGTGTTTAAATTTACTTTCTAAAATAGTTTTTATTAAATATTTCGAACAATATTTGATGTATACGTATAATAGTGAAAATTGGTATACAAGGGTTTTTTGATACGATAAAACGAACCATGGTCATAGTTTTACTGTAGCCGCTAGAGGGCGCTCTCTACTGTACCTGTAGTGTATTAAAATGACCGAAAATTTTTTCTTAGTGCAATTTTTTGCTTTTCGAATAAACAAACTGATACTTCGCACTTTTCAACATAAAAAAGCTCTCTCGTGAGTTTTCGTTATAGTTAGCCGTTTGTGAGATATTTCGATTTTTAAGGTTCGATGCATTTTTAATTATTTATGGGAAAATAATATTTTTTTTACATTTTCGATTTGGGCATTACAAGTAATTAAGATGATCGTTTAGATTGTGTTTTTAAACACAGCAATAATTCCTAACTCCAAATAAACACAAAAAACAATTTTATTTGTTTAATTTTCCAATATTATTTTTAACAAATTAAATTAATTATTTACAACTAAAATGCTATTGGATAGTTAGGACAAACATACAAAATCTAAAGTAGTTGCTCGAAATGTAAACCCAATTGTTCAATACACATCTCACATCTACGAATGATCGAACGTGGTATAGCATTATTCAAATAAGACCTTATTTAATCACATGCGTTCCTGATTCTGTCTATTAGCATATCTCTTGTGGTTACGGGAGTCTGGTACACTTTTTCTTTTAAAAATCCTCACACAAAGAAATCTAATGGATTTAGGTCAGGGGATCGTGGAGGCCAGGCGACTGGTCCTCCACGGCCGATCCATCTTTCTGGATAATTTTCGTCCAGCCAGTTTCTAACTATTCTCGAATAATGAGCTGGACAACCAGCAAGCTGGAACCAGGCCAATCTTCTTAAATCTAACATAACATCATCCCACATATTTGCATGTTCAGCCTTTAAAAATTCCAAGAAGGTCGCAGCATTTAACCTTGCAGGCAAAAGGTAGGGTCCAAATAGTCGATTACGGTAGATACCAATCCACACGTTCACACTAAATTCATGCTTAAATGTTGTTTCCCGAACTGCATGCGGATTTTCATGCGACCAAATATGTTGATTATGAAAATTTACCACTCCACGTCTAGTGAAGCATGACTCATCGGTCCATAAAGCGTTACTTAAAAACTCCCTATTATTATCAGTTCTATCAAGAATCCTCTGACAAAATGTGATTCTTCGTTCTCCGTCCCCTGGCTGTAGTCCTTGCACAGGTTGCAAATGGTAAGGACGTCTATGGTCATTTCTAAGAACACGGTGAACATGGCTTGCTGAAATTCCCAAGGCACCAGAAACTCTCCTAATACTTGTGGTCGGATCTCTATCAAACTCATGCAGAATCATACGGGTAAACCTGCGCTGACGAACATTTATGTTTTGATACCTTTGGAGATTTCCAAAACGATTTTCAATTATTTGGCGATGCACTCTTACAAATACTGAGCGAGTTGGATGTCGTCTGTTTGGAAATCTTCGTGCGTATTCTCTGGCTGCTTCTGCTGCGTTTCCATTTACAAAGCCATACACAAAATGAATATCCGCTAACTCTTTATTGGAGAATAATAAAAATGGCATTTTTATAAAACTTACAAAAAAAAAACAGGTAAAAGAAACTAAATTTCGTGCATTCACAATTGCAAAAAAACGTTTCAGGTTTCAACAGACAACAAAACTAACTGTAAACTAATTGACGTTTAACCTTATTCTGCTTTCAATTTCAAAAATATTTGCAGGCACAGCCTACTTGTAAAAATTATCGAGATACTGACCTTTTAACGTTATTTTATCATAAATAATTAAAAAGGCATCGAACCTTAAAAATCGAAATATCTCAAAAACGGCTAACTATAACGAAAATTCACAAGAGAGCTTTTTTATGTTGAAAAGTACGGAAAATCAGTTTTTTTATTCAAAAAGCAAAAAATTGCACTAAGAAAAATTTTTCGGTAATTTTAATACACTACAGGTACAATAGAGAGCGCCCTCTAGCGGCTACAGTAAAACTATGCCCATGGTTCGTTTTGTCGTACCAAAAAACCCTTGTATACCAATTTTCACTGTTATACATCAAATGTTGTTCGAAATATTCAAAAAAAACTATTTTAGAAAGTAAATTTAAACACCCTGTATTTCGAAAGCCACGCATTTTTCGACCCATGTTTATATAGACTTTATGCATTAATTTTAAAAGTTCTATCGAATCTTAAAGTTATGCAACAATAAACTGAAACACCCTGTATATATATGTGTGTGTGTATACATGTGTATATATGGTACCATTTTGTTTTGATTTCACTAATTTCCTGTGATTGGGTGTATACCTGTTGGAAATAAATATATTATTATTATTATTATTATTATTTAGACTGGAGTACTGCTCATTTGTTTAAAAGCCTTATTACATATACCAGAAGCAGATGCTAGAGAGGGTGCAACGTGGTATTCTGAAATATTTATGTTAAAAGTTAAAGGAATGATAACAATACTGTTGCCTGCAGTCGACAATCCCTTCTTCAGTTGAGGAGTTCTCCAGGAGTGTACAACTGTTACGCCGATGAAGTCAAGTAGATCTAATTTGTGCGACAAAAACAAAAACAAAAGCAACGTTGGTCAAATCAGGCAACGGACGACGACAGCAAGCATTGAATGGAAGGTCAATTTCAACTTTGCCAATTAGGCGGTGGTACAAAGAAACAAAAGAGCGTTTACAAATAGGCCAATGGATTCCCAGTTTTCTTTTATTTCTGTAATTGGGGATGAATGCAGCCTGGATTGGGGCTCGTTTGGACAATAGAGCTATCGAGTGGCGCTATTGTTTGGCGTTTTGTCCTTTATCCAGATCGCTGATTGGTGGAATAATTGGAAAAATTGTGTCATGGGTACAGACAATGTGTTCGAATGCTATTCAAGATGTAACTTGATGACCGGTATTGACATTTTTTCGATTCGGTTATAATTGGGATAAATCCGTAACTGAAGTACCATACAGGTACATGCGCCAATAATAATTGCCATTCGGGACAAACATGCGATGCTTTTTGTTGTAACAAAAACAAATGTTAATTTACGCAGTTATGAAGCTAGAAACAGAAACACCCTAGTTTTGCCTGCTCATAAATGTCTCCAAAATATATGGCGACTAAGTTATATAATAAATTAGATGCAAGCGTGAACAGCATGATATTGGGTGATTTTTTAAGAGGTGTAGGATTTGATTTAAAAAAAAAACATAAAAAATTTGAAAAACCGATTAAATCTTTATTTGAGTCGATAGAACGGTCGATATAATTTAATGTTTAAAGATTATTTCATGTAAATGTTGGCCGCGGCTCCGCTTTAGATGGCCCATGCGCAAGCTCCAATTTTGGCACACTCTCTCCAACATATCGGCCGGTATCTCACGAATAAATGCTTCAATATTGGCTTCCAGTGCATCAATCGTTGCTGGTTTAGCCGTGTAGACATTAGCCTTAACATGGCCCCACAAGAAATAGTCCAACGGCGTTAAATCACACGATCTACGCGGAAAATTGACGAGCCCCAAACGTGAAATATACTATTGACCGAACTCGCCTCTCAATAGGGCCATTGTTTCGTGTGCGGTGTGGCATGTGGCACCGTCTTGTTGACACCACATGTCAGCCAAGTCCAGCTCTTCCATTTTGGGCAAAAAAAGGATTGTTATCATCGCACGGTAGCGCTCGCCATTCACAGTTACGTTCCGGCCATTGTCGTCTTTGAAGAAGTACGGCCCGATGATGCCACCGGCCCATAATCCACACCAAACAGTGATTTTTTCGGGATGCATTGGTAGCTCTTGCAATGCTTCTGGCTGGTCTTCACTTCAGATGCGGCAGTTTTGCTTGTTAACGTACCCATTCAACCAGAAATGAGCTTCGTCGCTGAACACAATTTTTCGATAAAAATGTGGATCTTCCTCCAACTTTGCCAGCGCCCATTCACCAAATTGGAAACGTTGTGGGAGGTCGTGTGGCTTCAATTCTTGCACCAGCTATATCTTATAAGGTTTTACACTTAAATCCTGTCGCAAAATTTTCCACGTAGTGGAGTAACAGAGGCCCAGTTGCTGCGAACGGCGGCGAAACGACATTTCACGGTCATCACTAACACTGGCGGATACAGCCGCAATATTTTCTTCCGTCCTCACTCTACGTCTGCATGTTGGTGGCTT